GACGAAACATTGCATCACGGCTCACTTAACCAACACGCGATCGTCAGTGCCCATCCCGCATCGTGCAGTTCGATGCCTTGTTGAGACATAATTGGCCGCGGACAACAACGCAATGTCATTTCATGGACAGCATTATCAGATAGCAACTAACTTCCTTTGCACCGGAGACACTGTTATCTAGGTTCCCGACTGCGGCTTTCTAGGCGGCAACCTGATCAAGTGGAAATGACTGCTCCAGGATAATTAGTCTCTACTTCGCACACTAATTTTGGTCAACTCATGACATCAGTTACGTGAACTAAGGATGGCTCAGTGGCCAAGTGGTAAAAGTGGTGGATAATGATTATCCGGGATCAGTCATTCTCACCTGGTAAATTTGCCGCAGGGAAAGCCGCAGCCACGAACCTAGGTAACAGTGTCTCCGACGTATTGAAAAAAGTGTCGCATGATCGCTGAGTCCCAACGGGCTGCTTACTGTTACTGTGTAGACACAGGATCAATGATAGCTGGTTTGTTCCCTATTCTGAATCTCGTAGGGGAGGTAATGTGATTGTACAATGGTATCACAGCGACTAGCTCTTACAGTTCGGCTTTAAATTACTCACTGAGGGTGGCTGGGACCTTGACAGCATGCAAGTTGAAATCTCCGACAAGGAGAACGTGACTGTAGGGCTGTGCTAGAACGGTCTTCAGAACATTAGCTAGACGGTTGTCCATTTCTACAGCTGATATAGGAAGATGACAAACGATGGCCACCAAACATGTGTCGCCACGCCGAACTTGTAAGCGGCACCAAGGCGAGTCAACGACTTGAATCTCTAGGCTAGTAACGAGTTCAAAATGCAGGTCACTGCGATAAGACTGAGAATGTATTTAAGATCAAGTAGAAAAGTTCTGTACAACTATCGATTTCTGAAAAATCAAACTGTTGGGATGAAAGCCTTATCAAATTTGCAACTAAAATCCTGCTACTTATGAGTACTATAAAATCAAAAACATTCAAATGCGGATTATCAGCGGCAGTGTTTGGTCAGTTACTCGTTGATTCTTGGTACAAAAAGACGTCGCCTCTCCTCCTTGGTGGATCATTTCGTAGGACGGACATGGTAAGGCGATCTTGGCATCAATGATTTCGTTTTCACGTATGCACTTTAGTATCGCTTCTTAAACACAGGCGCTCACATGATTGGTTGAGAATGACGTCGCTTTACTTTCCTTATATCGTTTGTTTTGCTTTCCGACTTTTCTAGCCACTGCAACGAAAGATGCGTTCAGTAAATCGGTTCCACACTACGCGTGCCAGTTCTGTTCCATTTATCAGCTAAGGGCCATACTTAACAGTCGTTGAGCCAGGTTTCCGGTTATCATGATCATGTCCCAGGACGTCATACTTGGCGACAATGCAACCCAGAAAATTTCCACAGGATGATCTGTGCGTTAGTGTAAAAACAGGATGGTGTTTCGAATATCGGAACTGTGTTTGAAGATGTGGGTGTGAAGTGAGATTTCAAACAGACCTTTGTGAGGTTAGCAACTAATGGTTTCTTGGGTGAACTACTGATATTGAACTTTGAGTCTCTTCATGTCGGTTGATAGGAAGCCCATGCGATGAAGTTCCGATGAAATTGAGGGTCATTGGGCAAGTCGCTGCTCCTGTCAGAGTCTGTCGTGGACCGCAGCTGTACGACTCAAAAGTAAGGCTTGCTGGGGTGATTTCGCCCTGCCTCGGTCTATAGGGGTCTGGTGTTAAACGCCTTCAAGCGAATCTCAGATGGGGGCTTGTCACGACACTTGTGCCACATCTGGAGTGTTTCTTCCGCCACGCGTTTGGACCGAAGCACAACTTTCGACACTTCGGGGCCACATCCTTGGTAATTTGATGATGATGGCAGCTTCGAGATCGATTTGTCTATCACATTATGGAGTGAGAGTACTTAGCGTACGTAACGCCACTCTTCCCAGTCATGGGATTGGGCTTAGGGTGCATCCGTTGCCTGTAGCTCCGGGACACTATGAATGAATACCGATGTTTCGTTATTCAGCTGGTGGTGGACATTCGGGTTCTGTTTTCTTCCCTGGTGTTCGCTCCAAGGAACGTCCGGAAAAATACGAACATCGAATGATGTATTCCGAAGAAGAGTGGCTGACAAGAGAACCGACTCGGCGCACCCTCGATATGTGTTGTGAATGCTTTTTCCTAGTTGCAGACACCATAACTATAAGCGGAATTCGATTTCAAAATCGTACTAGCACAATACTATAGCCATATGATTAATGAGAAAGTTTGTTTAGGTGACCGAAATTCGTCCCAAATGTGTCTAACTGAGACGGCCTGGGGCATGTAAATCGGTCACTTTGGTTGCTCCAAAGGTCACGCGCGCTTTATGAAATCACGGTTTTATTAAGAATAGCTTATAGGCAAGGAACGGAAGTGTTAAAGATTTCGAAGAATATTTGAACGACATATCTGGTCATGGTAAGCCGTTTATTCGCACATTCACTTTTTGCCTCCGGGAGCATTCGAAAATACGCCCAAGCAAGACGGCTGGGCGTCCTATTGTGCAAGACAGGACAGTACATCAACAGATCATCGCGGCATTGGTGCATGTGTAATTGCGGTTCACCCTTCACCAATTAGGGGACTTGTTAAGCACTAACTTTACTACCGGTGCAAACTCATTAGAGCTGTATATTCACCCTTCATGAGTGCATGAAACGCATTCATGAGTTGACTTGACTCGCTTATTCAATGTAAGGGTCACACTAGTTTGAAAAACAACCGGTGCTATCCGTGGAACATGAACGAAGACTGTCGTATCATTAGCCGCATTAAAGGCTTAATGTGCAGCCTGGTACATAGCCAATCGTAATCTCTTGATGTCAGGAAGCTTCGTGCGTTGCGATCGTCGCACCAGTGATGTCACCTACGTTTACCGGTTGACATACGAGTTAGCCGTTTGATCATACTACATTGTAACGTACCGACTCAGTGCGCCACTCGTTTTTTGCCTGCTGGCCAACGCGCAATGTGCCCATCGCATACAATTGCTTGCACGGACAAGGACCTGGTAACTTTAGGTACAAGAACACTGACTACCGGCTGTGATGGAATGCGGCACAAATATCAGCTGTTCTGCCGACAGGATTTGTTAAAGGTTTAAGGTGGGGCATACTCCAACCCCTTGTCTTACAGCGACCCAACTTCATCCTTCCCCGCAATTACTGACCTAAGAGGTCACCAGTCTCACCGCTGTCATCGCCTTGGGGATGAATTGCTATCTGGCATGCACGGTCAGCAAGCTTTGCCCTCTTCGTGACTACATTTACCTCTATACCTACCGCAGACATCCTATTAGGTGACGGCGCCAAACCAATAAGACAACTACGCGACGGTGCGCGCAAAAGCAAATGGCCGACGCAGGGACGTGCGAACTTGTAAGAGTAACAGACGAAGTTGAAATCTCAACAGTCTAACTTCATTGCGCTTTGGCCTAGCATGCCTGTGAAATGTTATTGCGTTCGTTTGATCATATATCTCGATCTGTTTGTCGCGGCGTGATAGATAATTTTTGAAGGCAGCGAGATGCGCGGGTATTGAGTAACTGACAATTAGCACGTTCTCCGTCTCCTCCAGGCTATGGACCAAGATGGGTTTTTGATCGAAGTAATTAGATTCGAGAAATTTAGGTTTTTGGCAAATAAATTGCCTGATAACTGAATCTTTCTCATTTGGCCGCGTATCACAGAGCAGTAGCCACATTCACCCTAAGGGCATGCAATCATCCATTGGATAGTTAAACAAATGAAAATACGATATATAACTTACCTGCTCACAGACTAGTGCGCGTTATCTAACTGAACGCTATCAACGTAGAACAAACAACTTTGTGCTCGATCGCCATTGAAAGCTACTATTTCGATCTTCCCAAAACAATTACGGTTAGTGCAGCTTACAAAGGTAGAGCTGCCATCCTGTTTTTACCTGTCGATATGACGAAGAGCCGACCTCAATGGCGTTTGTTTTGTAAGTTTCTTACTGCCCCCCGCCTCGCTTTCCACTTCAACCACCATCTCTCACTCCATGCAAAACGTGATACATGGAATTATACTACTTTCCTTTTAGTTTTTGTATTCTGTCATGTTTAGCAACTTTTTTGTATTGCGGCACTCGGCTAGTAGCCTAATGGATCACAAGTTTACCTTGTAATCCGAGGGCGCGGGTTCGAGCATGCGTAGAGGACTCGCTAACCTCGCAGTATCCTTGGCCCACGTGGGCCTGGTGGTGGTTGCGCGGCAGCGAAGCGTCTGTACTGCATACTGCTGATGCCTTTTGCCTCTTTCTCTATTGCGACACAGTAGATGCGGTGTTTCTCACCCTCGGCTAATTTGTATTGATGATGATGCCACTGTCATAGTTTTAAACCCCGCGCAACAACTTGTGATCATAGGTCAGACTACGCAATGAGCGTTGGAACTGGCCGTTATTCTCGTCAATCTATCACGGTTCCTATCGGATTCGCCCTTGAGCAAGTGCACTTCCTGTAGAAGTCAACTTGTTCTTGTTGTACAATAAACGCGTTGCCTGAGTCACTGGTGGTGTCCAGACTGGAAAACTGACGCGCTGCTATGACGTCAAGTCTTGGTCGAGGTCACGTATGACTTGAATCGGCGGATTTCTGATGTACCGAATTATTTCCGATCCGCATCGCAACAGACTGCAGAAGAAAACCACGTTGAGGGTTTAGCGAAATTAGACGAATTATTGAGTTCGATTCCATATGAACACAATGACTCAAACAGCACATTTCCGTCAATGTTTGTCACGATTCAACCAGTTTATTGCTTCGTCGATCCGGACGTACGTTGAGTTGCCCTCCTGAGCTACAATGACCGCTTCTGGTTTGCGGACACCGGTGTAATAGCAGTATGATTGGTCTCATTTCTCAATCTTAAGGTAGCACTTCTGTGTCATGAACAGAAATCTATTATTCGTCTTACAGCTGGTCGTTCACCCAAATTGGCCGGACCAGCCGCCGAAACTGGAATTATCTATGCCAACTTCACCGCAAGATCTGCTCGCCGGGGCCTGTTGATCGGTCACCAGCCACTTGCCTCTCCAGTCGTTGAAGTGAACGAAGGTTTCACTGAACTGCGGTTTGCCGGGGGCCCTCCAATGAAGCTCATGACAGTGGAGATATGGGCCGCTGGATCTCCTGATTCACTGACGAAACTCCAAGCACAGAAAGCGTGGGACCTCGCACAAGTAAGCGCGTTGTATGCGTCCCCACTTGTTGCAGGGAGTTTGCGGTCCGCGTGCGTATCGATCTCTACAGACTCGGGCTTAAGGTTCCGAGATGCAAGGCCAGTTAAATCGAATATTCTAGCTTTGCCCAATTAAATGAACGCGCAGTGGCCGTATTCCTTGACCCAAAGATTACCCATCCGGCTTTTTCGCTAATGCTAAGTTATTAGAGTATGTCGGGTATCTGCTATCTTCGCACCAGACCATCTGTGATATGTGGACTTTGACAAACCATGTAGTAGGGTGCTGCAACAGACATGGATTCTACTCTGTTGTGGTAGCGCTCCGTCTCATTACTGGAATTGTTATCACCGTTCACACGGTTTTTGATGAAATATCCCAACCAAAGGTTGTAAAACCTTCCCTACAATCAAAAACATAAAAACACAATAGGTAGAGAGATATTACCATTCGTTACTCCTGGAGCGAGTTAAATATTGGCAGTGGCTGTTCGTTAGGTTTCGACAACTGACCTCTGCTCCAACTGTTAAGACTGAGAACGTCAGTTTCACATATATTATCATTGTTGAACGCTGGTGACCTGTCATGGTTATTTTGGGCAACCTCATTCTTATGATACTTCATATCGAGCAGTTAATCAAAAAAACACCTTTCCTTAGATCAAAAAGGAGAAAAATCGAAAGGTGCTCCAGGACGAAGACTGGCGAGACACGACAGACAGGCAAATTCTCAGCATGGCTGGAATCAAAGTCAACTACTCTACCAACCTTGAGCTGCATGAGGCAGAAGTATTTACTGGAATTCGCAACGGTAACCAACAGCTGCAAGATAACAATCTGTGAATATCTCTTTTAATCAGTCGGAAAAACAGGTGACCGAAGACCCATCGGTTTTGTTCTTTCTCTATAACCTAATAAGCCACATTCTTTCGATGTTTATTTCATTTCGAAACACTTGGGTAACGTTTCGACAATATTACACTGACCTCCCGTATCAAATTTCCGCAGACTTTTTGATCGTACGGATGGTGCCAGCAGCGGTCATTTTTCGGACGAGTCCGATACTCCGTAGGGGTTTCGTCTGAGGTTACTACACCGGAAAGTAAAGTACCTAAGTCAGAGTAAGCACAAATAACGATCACGTTGGGCCATGGACTCAGTAATCTGATGGGTATTGAATAGATATGCTCATATCGGATACGTTTTGTAGCGCTGTTTGGATAAAGACTGCACGGCAGCTATGGTCCGAGATGTGTAGTTAAGTGGGAACATCAACTTTCTCCTTGTGGATGTTTCTCCTAGCATTGCAGAGCATAGGGGATAATCATGTTAACTTGTGAGAAATGGACGCCTTCCAAATCGCACTTTGAGCAGCAGTCGCAGCTAGACACGTTGTTAACAACGGGAACTCGCTGACGCCACGGTCGTCTGGACGCCGTTACAGTGCGGTCTAGATTAGCGTAACTCAGCAAGAAGGAATGAGCTCAGAAGGGGCGGCATTGTATATGGATTTTCACGACAGAGAAAACAAACATGCAACTGAATGCAAAGGTACATACTATGATAAACATGTCGATACGGTCCAACAAGAGTACATCGGGTAACAGGGGCAGTGTAAGGGGCGAAAGTGCGCATGTTCATTTATACTTTGCGTTGATCCATCATATTTGTGCCTCCATGTTGGTGGGGTTGTCCGCTGCGCCCGCGATTGGCACAATCAGTGTGTCTTTGCCCATTAAGTTGTACTTGAGCACATAGGTGGTGAAGCGCTGGCATAGAGCAGTAGCTTCCTGGTGAGTTCATAAAATACACACACATCAATTGACGCAGTGTAATACCGTGTGATTTATCAGAGATCACGATGAGAAGCATGCTAATCTGTAGGACTAGAGCGCTGTAAACCTGGGGTCTATTAAACAATGGATGGGTTTGGGTGGAAACTCCAACCCATCCTTAGGCTACGTAGATTGAAATAGTGCGACATTGTGATGAATTTGTCGGGGAATCCTAATCTTCAAAAATGATACAGAAGACAAGTTTCTGCTTCCATCCGCCTTACAAATTGTGCTAATTGCCTGAAATTGACCATGTCATTCTTTGGAAGGAAATGCCTAGCAGAACCACTGCAGAAAATCAAATAGTTTGATCTCGTAGGTGCTGCATTCAGCTAGTCTAGATTGTTATAATAGTTGGTTGGAGTAAATGTCACTCTCCATTCGAAACACTTGCAAGGTGTCTTCTTAAGCAACGTTTCGTCGCGACTGAATTCAACACAAGAATCAATAGACCGCACCTGTGATATATGCCCAGTTGTTGAGTGATAGGAAACACAAGTGGGATAGATAAGGTTAAGTAAGCAGCGGTGTTTCGATCAAAAACGATTATCATAGTGGACGTTAAAGTGAACTCTGCACCGGAAGGAGCCACAAAAGGACAACGGCTGTAGACACATCTAAGAGATGCGTGTCAATTGGCCTGGTGAACTGACGGTGTGTAGCCAGAATGGGTGAGTTAGGTACCTGGTTAGGCTCGATTTAACGAACAAGTACGAGCACCATTCGATTGTTGCCGATTACAGCTGCCCCATTTCATTAAACCTCACCGTCTCACCAGAGCTTATGGTCATGGGTGACTTCGATAACCTGCGATGTTAGGCAGGAAGGTTGTTTGGAGGGAAATGGTCACGCGCGTCACACCAGATAGGTGGCGAAAATGGTAGTGCAACAGTCATTGGTTCAAATCGTAACACGCTGTCTAGCCCGGACAATCCTACATCACAGTAACTGTATGCAACAGCTAATGAATAACACATAGCAAGGAGCGCTGCCTAGATATCAGGTTTTGTAGAGTCGTCGTTATGATAGCCTAGTGGAAAGGGTTACACTAGCTTAACAAAGATGGGCGCGATTATAATTGTTACTGAGATAGCACTGCGTGCTAGCGACAGTAGCTGACAAACCGAGGTCGGAACACGAAGACACCCTTCTAAAGTGGCAAGCTTCATCGTTCGTGGACGTATAAAGGGAGTCCGGGAGCAATCCTCGGGAAGTGGTAATTTGTGTTAGTTTCGTGCCAGCTGTGTTGGTATTATGTCCGGAACGAACTTCTGTTGCGTAACCAACAACCGTACTTAAGTGGCTGTCCACTGAGGCCTACCCGAACCAACTGCTCCTCACCGCATCGCTAAATGCAATTCCAACGCCATGGGAACAGAAGTGTCCAGACAAGTAGAGAATCGGGTGTGGAGTACAAATGTTGGGGGCGAGCAACACCGCAAACTGTTCACCATGTTGCCATCATAACATCACGATAAAACTTGTGACATACTGGTACTGCAATTGAAATGGGCGGTGGGGTCTTTCGAGTCAATTCATTGCAATGGAACGGTTGACGACGGTATTGCCGATGAGTGTTTGTGGTTAAGAAACACGAAAGGTAGATTTTTCGGATGGCGTTTACCAATATTTTCTGATTATAATACAATATTAGCAGCACCAATATGATAAGAATCATCCGCGTAACCCTCTTTGAACTGACCAAAGCGTAATGTTTGCCTCTAGTTCTATTCTCTACATTCATTCTGAAATGCCAAATAGTTATTCTTTTCCGGAGACGACAGCTCAGGAGCATAAAGCAAGTCGCAGTGCTCGGAGGTATCAAATTTTCTAATTTTCAAATGTATGCAGCTGATGGATGAATTTGAAATCCTTTGTAGAACCGCCTTGTTTATGTACAGTTAGTGGTTATCTGTTTTCGGCGACTCCATCGTACAATTTGACTGGAAAGTCCGCCGGTCTTTCTCGAAATGTACCGAAGTACGTCTTCTGCGTATTATTATTTTTTTTCATTCTCTTCACTATTGCCCACGACTGGACCGATCTTCTGAGGTGACGGATTGAAGCCTCCAAGCTGATAAATACATATATGCAAGGCGCATTGCCGTTGGCATATAGTAAAAGTGTCAAATTTGAACGGACTGTATGACTGAAGTGCTCAAATTGCATACGTATAATAACACCTCTAAAGATGAGCTAAAGTGGTGATTGTTTACTCCTTTTTAAACTACACCGGCACACCACCAAATGGGGCATGGAAGTACTGGTGAAACTTTTCCAAGGGCTACTCCACATGGAAGCAGGCCCCCAGGAAACGGTCCTATGGATGACGGTAGCTGAAAGCTATATCTACTCATTACTAATGTTAACTTCTCTGTCTTTGTATTACGTCTAACTAACCAGTCAATCCAAACATTCATTTGGAAACCACCATGAACAACCTGAATAATTGTTTTATGCGATCTCGCTGTGCATATTGATCAAGCCATTCAGTTGAACCATTGTCAAGGAATGTATCACTTATGGATATTTAAACAAGGTCCCATGGAGGGTTGGTTCTGAGTGTGAGGTGCTCGAAGCACTCTGCAAACTATGGTTGTTCGCGTGTGGAACACAATGCAAGCAGCGAAGCGCACATGTGGCTGATAACGCTCTGTGAAGCTCACTTGTAGCGACGGTGATCTAAGGGTGCATCAGCTATGGAACAGGGTCGTACATCACTTGATACACACTTTAGATAGATCATCCTGTGGGTTAGCAGCTGCTCAGTTCGATGATCAAACGTAGTCAAACGACACTTAGTGGACGGAACTACTGCAGGTAGCACAACCGAGTGAACAGATTATCACTGTTATTGCGACAGGTATCGATTTTGATATCGGTCCTAGTTGGGGTTTTGGTTATCAGATGAATCAAAATATGTTTATAACAGTCCGGATGACAGTCACCCTAGTAGCCTCCAGTTGAGGTGCATTAAATCTGACAGAGTTCGGCGATTTGAATGAATACAAATGGCTATTTTCTGGGTCCATACTGCTGCCTTGGATGCTTCTGCGGAGAGTGATTTGGACACTATGTGACTTGTGTATCGGAATCACCATAAACCCCATGCTGACACACATCCATTGGTTTCTACTTGCTCTGGATGCATACTGCACACTGATTCCAAAAATGATCGCCGTGAGTGCGAGAGTTGGAGCCTCAATGTGAACTGGTAGTGTGGGTGGCAAAACGGGGAGCCACCCCACGAGAAGGAAGTTGGCAGTGTGAAAAGCATAAATAAAGGCTATCCTCGTAGTCATGGTCCGTCGGCGGATGGACGGTAACAGCCACCAGCGATCGGGTTATAAGACACGTTATGCATGTGGCTGAAGGCTATTTTTGGTTTTAAGCACCTTTACTTTCAATTGATGTGATTGACCTAATCACAGTGCGATATACCGTTGCCTTCTTGATGACCGCAGCGGTGGGGTCGATTATATTGAAAAACAGCTGTCTCGTCTATTCACGTTGTCGAAACGTTTTGTAAGGTTAGACGATTGTCATTTTACGCTCTTCGACATAAAGTAATTTCAGTACCACGTGATTTGATTACTAGATTTGTGACTGCACATATACTACCGTACTGGCTCTACTGTTCCCCTGTAATCTTCCCTGCATTACTCGAAAAAGACTACACATTGTACGGTCCATAAAGCTTACTTCCAGATGCAGCGGATTGTCTAGGTAGTCCCCTGTGAATTTTATTGTTAACAAGCACCTAGACGCTTGTACCAGATTTTCCTCTAAAATTCTAATAAACCCTCTTCATCCACTACGTTTTGACCTATCAAAAACTATGTATTTCCTCTACCCGCTTCAAATTTAAGATACTATTTTCTCGTACTGCATCTTACCGGAATTCTGTTCTACCGTACCTGTCGCGCTTGTTTGTTGACCCGACCAAAACTGTCACTATGATGCGAAATTATCTGCCGGAATGATGTGTGTATATTTTTAAGTGTTTTACTTTTTCATTTAACAATTAATATATATCACCATCCGCAGTGATAGTGTAACATGCTGAAAATGCACCTACCCGGATGTATAAAGCCTAGACTTGACTGCAAGATAACAAATTGAACCAACAACAAACAGCGAAAGCTTCACGATCATTTCGGAAAAGAGCAACCAAGGTCCATACTTAACAGTCGTTGAGCCAGGTTTCCGGTTATCATGATCATGTCCCAGGATGTCACACTTGGCGACAATGCAGCCCGGAAAATTTCCACAGGATGCTCTATGCGTTAGTGTAAAAACAGGATGTTTCGAATAACGGAACTGTGTTTGAAGACGTGGGTGTGAAGTGAGATTTCAAGCAGACCTTTGTGAGGTTGGCAACTAATGGTTTCTTGGGTGAACTACTGATATTGAACTTTGAGTCTCTTCATGTCGGTTGATGGGAAGCCCATGCGGTGAAGTTCCGATGAAATTGAGGGTCATTGGGCAAGTCGCTGCTCCTGTCAGAGTCTGTCGTGGACCGCAGCTGTACGACTCGAAAGTAAGGCTTGCTGGGGTGATTTCGCTCTGCCTCGGTCTATTGGGGTCTGGTGTTAAACGCGTTCAAGCGAATCTCAGGTGGGGGCTTGTCACGACACTTGCCCCGCGCGTTTGGACCGAAGCACAACTTTCGACACTTTCGTAAAGAGCAACCTATCTGAAGACAGGTTCATCTTGCGACTAGATGTTATCTCATTCGACAGACCAAGCCTCTCCAGGGAGGGTAGTACATGACATGTGGCATTTATTTCCGACTACGAGTAGCACAGGACGTGTGGGTTCATGAATGAATTACGGAAGGTCCATCATGAATCACAAACCAGAAGGACCAACATCGTAAAGGTATGCAAATATCGTGGTCATTTTGGAGCCGACTAACACGCCCAGTGAGTATGTGAATCCATGTGGCAGCACAC